TTGTTGTTTTTCGTGTTGTTACAGACAGGTGACTTTCTGGGTGAATTTTACCAATGCTCTCTCTCAGGGGCGGATCTACCGGGGTGGCATAGGGTGGCAAATGCCACCCTAAAAGAAAGCCTTGCCACCCCTGCTGCCACCCCAGTTGGCAGCAACGAATTAAAAGTTATGGCCAATTTGACAATTTACGAACGCGAATCTCCAATGTCCGACTGCAGTGAATTCGCTCCGTGCATAATATGACGACCGTTGACGTTCGTACTTTAGTGTGTGGGCAAATACTTCCGGCGAAAACTTCCGGTGATCTGACCGCGACAGCGGGAGACAGCGAGAGCAAGAGACAACAGCGACTGAGTTCCATTACCAGAGAGATAAGTTTTCAACCCCACCAAATTTTTAAATGCATATCATTTTCAGTGTATTTCACCTGTGCGTTTCTATGCTTTATATTACTGCATTTATTTTGTGCAAGTGAGATGAGTAAAGAACATCTGTTTCATATATCATTATCTGTCTGGTGTTTATAAGCAGTAGCCTACAGTATTTTACTACGTGTAAAATATACACAAACTTAGCTATATTAAGTTGTTTGTGTACAGTTAAAAATATAAATGTAAAATATGTGATAATAATATTGATCGAGCAATTGATGTAAGTAAAAACACATGCGCAGAATTAAGAAAATATTATTTAATATTTATGGAGATAAATTTTAGCCTATCATAAAGAAAACGTGTGAATGTTCACAGGGTATTTTATTTAACAACTCTAATCGTAGTTGTAACTCTATATTTACAGTAGGCATAATTGTCATTGCGTATGTATGCAGCATGAGTCCAATACAATCTTCTGTTCGTGAACAGTTGTATTTCATTCATTAATCTGACTAACGTTATGCATCCGTGCATTTAATTGCCATTGGCTCGTGTGATAGTAATATGGATCTTAGTAGTATTTAAATTATATAATTGATTCTATAAATTGATTCTTGTTGGGTGCTCAACAAAATAATATATATAAAAAAGGGAAAAAAGGTCGGCACACCTTGGCTCCAAAAGTTAAACGCACCCCTGCCTTTATACTCACACAGGGCTGGACTGGCCATAATATTATAACTATTATTATATAGTAGTGTAATGTAGACAGACACTATATCACAACTAAAAAGAGTTTTGAGTTTTTCTTTGTTCAATTTGCACACTGCATATGGGTTGGAGCTCTTTATTTTGAACTCTCAAAGTGCACCAGATTGATGAATTTAACATTAAAAAGCAAAAAAAAAATCTTACGGGGGAGCATGCCCCCGAACCCCCCTAGAGGGACAGAGGTGCACTCACCACAGATTTCACAAAATCCTATGGGAAAAAACGGTATTGCTATCCCAATGCAGCTTATAGCTTGTTTTAGGATTCATCACTGTGGAGTATAGTTCAACTTAGTAGTTATTTCATCTGTTAACTCTTACTCAGTGGTTTTTATAGGAGTTGGTATACATATTCAAGGGAGTGCAAAGTTTGGTTGTGTTTATGATTATATGTAGTGGGCCAGTCTGGGCCAAAATGCCCCGGCCGATTTTTTGTCCCAGTCCAGCCCTGTACTCACAAATTAAATTCAGTATATATATACGTCTGCCATGTTGCCACCCCTCAAAAATTCCTGCCCCCCTCTTGCCACCCCATAAATATTTTTCTAGATCCGCCCCTGCTCTCTCTCTCTCTCACACACTCCCTCGCTCTCACACGTGTTTCCATTGTCCAAACTCTATGCATTTCTCGTTCATCGATGCCTTATCGTGTTTTGTTTGTTTATTATGTTTGTAAATACATATATCCCATGTAACCAGTAAATACATAAATAGTTCTGCCTTATTAAATTCATTATATTTATTTTGATTGTTTACTGCCTCTGCTCATATTTCGGGTCCCTGAAATGACTAGATCAAAGCTACGAGCTTTATAAATTAAAGATACTTTAAAGAGTATTTGTTTATAGGGCGGGAAACCCAATTCTTGTGGCCACAGAATTGCTTTTCCTGAAATCCTATAAAGTAAGATGATATTGTGGATCCCCACAAATATTATCCTGACAATTGAGCTAATTAATTTTGCCTGTTTTGTAGGACGTGGTCCGTGTAATTAATTGCAATCAACTTGTGGTTAATTTCAGGGATACACGTGCCTCCATGCAGGTAGAATGACAGATCCTCCCTTATCGGGAGATTTATTAACATGTAAGTCTGATCTAATCCAAACATGTATGAATAATTATTAATTACCAATTATTAATTATGATATTCAAATTCCCCACGGATTAGATCCGCCCTTTCGTCTTTACACAAGTGTCACAGTATTGTAATGTTAATAAGTAATTTTTTTCCCAAGCACATTATAATGTGGTTGTTTGTTGTGGCAAATTTGATTAATTAGCCATTATATCATGTAATTAATTTGATTAATAATTTTGATAATGGTTATCTTTTGTATCCACAGGTTGATGACAAATATAGTGCGGCAGGAATTTTCTTTTTAAACTACAATTTGACATGATTCCAACATCTTGGAGCCTGCATTTTCCTGACATTACAGTGATGTCCAGTGCCTGCTGGGACTAAATCAAGGATTGCTCCGAAGAAAAGTGGAGGAGGACAACAGCGACCGTTCCGCTTCAGTTAGTGTTATCAGCCTTCAAGATTTAAATAATTCAAATTATGTAAATTATAACGATAAATGAACCGGAAAGCATACTTTCAGAAGTATCTACTGTAATACCTCATCAGACAATGATTTATCAGGAAATTTCACTGGGAAATTTTTACTGAATTATATCTGGAAAACGGGATGTCCTCATTCAGCTAAATAATACAAACTCATCATCACAGCGATAAGTGTTAGCCTAGTTATCTCTTCTTGGTTACAATGCCGTATGATGAACAATGGTCAAAGATTCCATGGAAAAACAGTGGAGGAGGAGCACGGTGAGCGTTTCGCTTCAGTTAGCGTTATCTGCCTTCAAGTTTTAAATAATTCAAATTATGTGAATGATAACGTTCAATGAATAAGAACGCGTATTTTCAGAAGTATCTGTCTACCTGGGGCGGACAGGTACAAAATTTCAGGCCGGAAAATCTCACACTCATCCAGGCCATCCCACACATCCACAACTAATTCTAAAAAACACGGACAAAGCTATTTTTGTATGGCCATCACATAAAAAAAAGGTTTAAATTCTTAGGCTGGGGTGTGCAAAATAGTTAAAGGTTCTTCACCTTCACTTCCATTTTCCCTGATATCTCACTCTCTCTCACTTGTGTGTGTGTGTGTGTGTGTGTGTGTGTGTGTGTGTGTGTGTGTGTGTGTGTGTGTGTGTGTGTGTGTGTGTGTGTGTGTGTGTGTGTGTGTGTGTGTGTGTGTGTGTGTGTGTGTGTGTGTGTGTGTGTGTGTGTGTGTGTGTGTGTGTGTGTGTGTGTTTTTACTTTTTTTACTAATTGTCAGTTTCTTATCTACATGTCTCCATCTTGTTGAAAAACAACCACCTCACTGTAATTTGTTTTCACATAATATAGGACTACATTTATTTTAATTAAATTTAAAGTATACATTACGACAATGTGTTATTGTTTTATCTTTAAATGACTTATACCTAACAAAACTAAATTTTCTAAATTGCCTAAATGTGATCATGAAATGTAAATCATGAAAATATCTTTATAGAAAAATAGTACTGAACATGTTCTTGCATTATCATGTTTTTCCCTTGCGAAAATTACCCATAGTTTTATTATAGTAAAAGTATAGTAACCAACTATTTTTTTTTTTTTGCCGGATTTATTACTATTTATATAACGAGTTTTACCAAAAATTCCATGGTTAAACTATGGTTAGTGTTAGCCTGGGTTTCCCCATACTGCCTTTGCGCAGTGCGATTTTATTCACGCTGCAAGGCAGTATGGATACCATGGTCCAGATATTCGCCTCATCTGGGGAACCAATCACAGAACGGGGAGGGAGCAGCAAGACGATGACGACACACCGAAGCAGTTTGTTTATATCTATGGATCCAACATGGCAGCAGACGCAAAGTTACCTTTCGATGCAGCCTTAATTAGATAGTTTTCTAAGTAGTTTCATGGTAGTTTCGTGTACACGTAAATCTCTGACCCATCGTCTTCTTCCTCGTCGAATTTCTGTCACTCTACATACGTCATCTGGTATAACTGAAGAGATTGGCTATGAGCCGTACAGGCGCATTTGATAGACATTCGTAGCACCCAATAAACAGCTCTGGGCATTCGTAAACCACGCCTCAAATACGAGAAAATGTACATGTGGTTCCCAGACCACGAATCATTCTCAATGATACGTGGTCTGGCGTTAGCCAGGCTAGGTTAGTGTAGCAAAACCATGGTTAATTTGTGGTTACCATGGTTTAACTATAGTAACATGGTTTTTGGTTTTATTTGTAGTAAAACCTTGATGGTTGTGTTGTTGTTGTCGGCCGGCAGATACTCGTACGTCTGCAAGATGTCTGTTAAAGATCACTTCATCTTGAAATCATATGCTGTTTACTAACATCTTAAATACATTTTTTAAACGTCTATTTGACATCTGACAGGAAACGTACTATAGACGTATTGCAGATGTGTAGACGTTAGTTATCATTATAGCAATCTTATTTGGTGTGGACGGGCCTTTAGCCTTTGAGAGAATGCAGTTGACATTTAAGAACGTTTTAATTGACAGGCATATGTCTACGTGAACCAAGTGGGCGGGGCCAGTCGTGACGTTTCTATTCTCTCATTGGATTGTGAATTATTCAAAGCTTATCCTTGAAAGATCAATCCACGCCTCAGCTGTCCAGACGCTGTTTGGTTGATCTGGTGATTGCTGATAAGCGGATCCGGGTGCAGCTTCCCTTAAAAAGCCTAACATCCCCACTGGAGCTGACATTGTCTTCTTTATTGAAAACATCTCAGAACTTTTATTTATTTCGTCATTTCCCTGATGTATCGCCAGGTGATCGTCCTTGCGGTGTTTGCCGCTTTTCTATGCGGGTTTCCAGCATCATGCGATAATAACAGACCAATCATCGGTAAGAATAAAACAATTATTTGAGGTGAATTTAAGCGATTTCAGAACAAAAAACGGGTAAAAAAAAAAAATTAATGGCACTCTTTAACATTTATCTACATGGGATATTTCACCTAAAAATACATAGTACTCATCCTCATGTCGTGCCATGACTTTATTCGGTTGAACAAAAGAAGATATTTTGAGAAATGTCTCATTGTTTTGTTTTGTTTTCCTCCAAATATTCAAGTCAACATTCTTCAAAATCTCTTCTTTTGTGTTCAGCAGAAGAAATGTATACAGGTTTGGGACAACATGAGGGAGAGTAAATGATGACAGAATTTGGGACATTTTTGGGTGTACGCTCTTTAACCTACTTTCAGGATTATTGAATGTCATTTTTACTGGGTCATGCATCACTTTACAATCTCTACAAATGAACTCAAATGACTTCAAGTTCATTTATTTATTTCAATTCAATTTCAATTTATTATTGAAATTTCTTCCAAAGTTTGACAAGTAATCTTGCATTGTAGTGCAAAAATGCAGTGATGAGATGACATAACACACTTTTAATATCTAGACACTTTTCTGCATCTCTAAACTCACATATAAAAGAAAACATATTGCTAACAAAAATAAAAAACAAATCTGCTGCATAATCTTACAGATGGGCCTAATCAATTTAGGAAAAATTAATGTATCTGTAATGCAGGTATTATCATGCATGCTCAATTCATAAAAGCAAAACTAAACCATTTGTTTTACATCACTCTAAAAAAATGCTGGGTTGTTTCATTTGGGTCAAATATGGACAAACCCAACCCAGCCTGCATCTATAGCGGACTCTTTGCAAAGTTTGATCGTTTCATCTAATACTTTATAAGCAACACTGAACAATTGAATAGACTAATATTATTTCTCACCATACGTGAACATGAATGAAAAAAAAAAGTAGGCCTACCTGCAAGTTCTTTTCTCGGGTAGGCCTATCTCTGACTGTCTCTGTGATAGTGATGATGGGTCGCTCATGACATAAATGGTTTTGCGTTTGTCATAATTTATCTTTGGCTGCATTATGACTTCCTATCTGTAACAGCCTATGATCAAAGATTGCGAATGTGGACGTGCTCGGAGAAATTATTGAAAATATTATATAGGCTAGGCTACATTACATGCTGAACGAAATTCAAAGTCATCAAGTCTCAGGTAAGTTACACATAACACAACTTGTTTAAAGAGAGCTTATATTATGTATAATCAAATGCGTAGCAAACATAATAGTCCGTGTTTAAAAACTCTTTGAGCGAACGGAAATCATTCATAAACGGCCATCACATGATATTTTTTTTCAGTAGCAAATGCCCTTGCCTTAACATGTCTTTTGTGTTTCAGGAATTTTATCCCAGGAAAAGTTAGAGGACGACCCTCATGCACAGGGATCTTCCTATATCGCTGCATCATATGTGAAACACTTGGAGTCAGCTGGTGCCAGGGTTGTACCCATCCGGTATAAATGTTCAATACAAGCTATGCTGTTACTAAAAAACATTTTTTTTAAAGAATACACACAAATAAATGTTTTTTTGCAGAATAAATCTCAAAGAGGATGAGTATATAAAACTCTTCAATTCAATAAATGGGTGAGTGTTTCTGAATTCTTTTATAAGCTGGTAGAAACATGTAATATTTTCCGTGTGTGACCCGAAAGAAAATAGTGGAGAGTACTTTTAAATCTGTATTAGATTATGGTGATCTGTACTGCAAACATGAAGCTGGACTCTTTATATCATGATAATATTTGTTAGTTGTGCAGGTTTACTTGAATCCTTTGGTCTGCATGTTTTTAGTTTTATTTTATTTGCGAGAAATTTACGTTTTATTTATTGTCAAGTCTTAGGTAAATTACATTTTTCCAGAATTCCAGTCTTTTATCCTATCATATAAATGGCTATTGCACTAATCTACTCAAATTCAGTTGAAAGTTTCCATTTATCATTTTGTAAAACTTCTCTTTTTTTATGCTCCATGGAATTGCTAAAAAATTGTTTATATACAGTTCCCCATTTGAGCACTTTAAAGCAAACATGTAAATGCTTTATTGATTTGATCGTGTGTGTGTCTGTTATGTGAAACTTTGTGCTTCCGTCTTAAAAGCAGGACTCTCCGGAAGAATTATCTTAATGGGACTTTCCTGACAAGATAAAGGACTTTAAAAAAATAAAATAAAAAGTAAAAATGGTAGCTGGATTATAAAACTACCAATGTTCCAAAACTGCTGTTTTTTGGTTTTGTTTTCAAACTGGATTTCCCAAAAGGGTTGTGTTTTTCTGTAAGCCAATTTCCACCACATAAGAAAAAATATATGCATAAGAAGTCTATTTTATGACATAAGTCAAAATGATTATCTAAAAGTCAATTATGAAATAAAAAAAGGTCAAAACTATAAATTGACATACTAAATAAAATGTATGAGATTAAAAATAGAAATGACTGAGATTAAAAATGTGAAATTATGACTAAAAATATATTACTATAAAAAGTCAAATGACGACATTAAAATGTCAAAATAAGTCAAAAATATGATTTGTGTCACAATTATGACCTAATTATGACATACTGTTTTTTTCCTTATGTGGTGGAAATGGTCTTCCAAATAATTCACCTTTATTCTGCTGATTGTTAACTGTTTTTTACCTGGTTAGTTTGTTACTACCTGGAGGAAATGTGGACATTGATAAGTCTCAGTTTAAAACAGTGTCGAAGATTTTCTATGAACTTGCAATAAAGGTACGTTTAAAAAAAAAAAAAAAAAAAAAAAAATGGAGATGTGAATTTTGATCTGAATGTGAGGGTTCTTCTTTGTGATCTACAGGCGAATGATGTTTCGGATTATTTTCCGATCTGGGGAACCTGTCAGGGTTTCCAGCAGCTCACGGTTCTGACCAGCAACAAGAACCTGTTGACCTTGACCGACACCAAAGCAGTGACCCTGCCGTTGACCTTCAGCCCGGGTTTGTACCCGTGTGTTTTCCACCGTTCTGGAATGGCAAACTCACACTAGTAGCTAATACAGCACTGTCGTTTAATCTTTGTAATCTTAAATAATTAAGCCAAGGAAAATGCAAACAAGCCAAATATAAGAGTTATAGCCTATGCATTTGGCACAGTTTCATGAACCACCACGGTCCTTCACTCACGACCCCGCCCACTCGGCGCCCGTAGTTCACACGACGCTAACGGCGAGAAAGCGGTAATCTGCATTTGCACACAATTCACGGCTTTGGACAATTTCCAGTAAACCAAATTGCCAGCGGGGAAACTGGAACTGTAGATCCGAGCTGCGAGACAGGTGAAGGGATATCAGTTATAAACAGATACACACGTCAGTGCCCGCCCACTCGTTCGCAAGTGATACGAATTCCCACTTTCCTCAATCAGGACGAATAGTTGATATCGTAGACCTTTAGCTGCCAGAGGTCATCGAGATGGTTGTCTGCGTGGAGTCGTACATCCAAATGTCCACAGGCACGGAGACAGTCGGGCTTTTCGCGTTTCAGCGTCTGTCGCGGTGAAGGAGCACACCGGGGGAGGACTGCATGCCTGTTGACTTTTATTCAGTGGATCTGCCAATCGCGTTCATCAGTAGCCTACGAGTTAGAAGCACCTGTGAACAGAGACTTTCAGATATACATGCACACCTGATAGACATTAACCCACCTGTTGCCCTCCTGTTACATGAACAGATTTAATTTAGGATTTTTTGAATTTTTTGAATTTGAATAGTAATGAAGCTCAAACATGTCACCCGGCACGTTTGAGCTTCAGCAAGAACCAATGAGGTTTGTTCTTGCACGCCATGCAAGTACAATTGAGCTCTATGTATGTTCATGATCAATGTTTATGTAAATTAAAGCATTTTGAGTTATAAAAGCCTTTTGTTCTTTTTGTTCTCTCAGCTTGTGTTCTTTACCGTGAGTTAATGGTTGGTCAATGATTTTGATTGATTACAGAAGCCAAAAACAGCAAGTTGTTCAAATCATTCCCAGAGGATGTTTTTCAGTCTCTGGCAGAAGAAAACATCACACCTAACTTCCACAGCTGGAGCTTGTCCATGCAGGTACCAATTTCATCTTGAGGTTTTTTTCTATGCATATAATGGAACAACATTGCCATCAAAACCAAGAACGTTGTACCAGTCCAAAACCTGTTAACATTTTTATTTTGTAATTGCACTACCCACCATAAGGAGGTAACATAGAGCTGTACTCTCATGTATAAAATGGGTGTAGGGAGAGAAGTAGTCAGATTGATTTGCTCAGACTCAGTATAAATAGTGGAAAGTCAGCGTCCAGGCAGGATATCTTGTATGAAGTGCAACAAAATCTATACAGAATAGGAGTAAATATTTCATTTTTATGGGTTCCAGCACACGTGGGGGTAGAGGGTAATGAGGAGGTTGATCAGTTGGCAAAGAGATCTTTAAAACGCAATGTAAAACTGAAGTTAAAGCAATAATAAAATCTGCTCTAAACAAGATGTGGCAACAGAAATGGTACAAGGAGACAAAAGGTAGACATTTGTATAAAATTAAAAATAAAGTTGGGGTTGAGAGAAATAAATACGGAAGCAGACCTCACTCGTATGTATTCGTACGATTTGTCTAAACCCATGGGATGGGTAGGTTTAGGGGGCGGGGTCAGGGGTAGCTCATTCGTACGAATACATACGAATTTGGTAACTCGTAAAATATGTACGAATAAGCAAAAATCGTACGCATTTGTACGAGTGATGTCGTATGAATTCGTACGAATTAGCCACCTCGTAAAATGTGTACGAATTAAACCCGTCTCCACGGGGACCCCTAGTGCTCAGAACAGTGTAAATGCAACAAAAACCCGGGCCAAGTTTCTATATATTCTTTTATAACATTTTCAGGGTTTGTTTATTTTGTTCTATAAATGGCTCAGCTAAACCGGCCAATTAGAAACTATTAACTATCATTAATGTAAATGTAACTATCGTCAGTAATGAAGCCTCGTTTACTGAAATCACTTGACTCTGGCAGTTTGATACACACTCCGAACTGTTGATTCGAAACAAAAGATTCATAAAGGTTTCAAAGCTTCAAGAAGGAGTGTTTCGAAATTGCCATCAAGTGGCTATGAGGCAATGAGTTTCTCTGGAAAAACTTGTGGATTGGACATTGGCTTTCACAGACATTCATTTCTATTTCTACTTCATCGTCACATAAAAAAAGATAAACTTTTGACTTCTATGCTGCTGGTTATTGTTGGGGAAATCTGTATGTTGTATTTTTTTTTTTTTTGTAATGTTTATTAAGGGGTTTGAAAGATAAAAAGATGTAAAGGAATGAGAATAATTTATTTATTGTTTTGTTTATAGATCAAAGGTCTTGTCAATGTTTGCAATATATAGAGCTTACCTTATTGATTCTGTTGTGCCTTAATAGTGCTCCTAAAGGGGACATAAGGAGTAAACTAATGTTAGCCCTTTAGTGTAGAATCCAAACTGGGTTTATATTGTTCTGTTAAATGCTTTAACAGTAACACCACAGCAAATGGTATAGGCCTAATACTAAACCAATTTTAATGCGGAATGTTATTAGCATGTAAGTTAAACAACTGTAGAAAATTAATACAAGCACGATTTAGGCTAATGTTAATATAATACTTTTAGTGCAGATTATCCATATTACAGAAATCGGGAAATTAAGCCTACAGGCTTACGTACCTTTATCTTCTTGCTTCTCTTCTTCCAGGCTCTTTTTTTGTCGTTTTTCTTGGCCAGAAAGATATTTTCGTTTCTTGTCAGACATCGTCGATTCGCTAACTGACTGACCAAGTGACAACGAGTGACATCATAGGGGCAGTCGGGACAAGACGCGCGCGCGCCTTCGCGGGGAGCTCCCGGTTGATTTGCCATAATACAGAACTAAATAAATAACAACTCTGTGCTTATCATGATGCCTGATAAAGAGCGCTGTAGGTCCATTTCTTTTTATTTATTTATTTTATGTTACTTTTGTTGTGCGATTTTTTTCCCCCACTAGCTAGCAGTGACTCTAGGGGGCCCTCTGCTGGCCACGGGGCCCTTTGCAATTGCAACGGTCGCTTAGTGGCTCGGCCGGCTCTGTGTGATACCACAATGATAGCCGATTGACTGAAGTTCACTGGTGTCTATTCTTGATGATAGTTTCCACACACACAAAAAAGAGTGATTTAGACTTCCTTAAAGGAGCTCAGAGATAGGTTTACACGCTTGACCGATCGCAAGAGAGAAATGGGAAATGACCATAGACTGTAAAACATGGGAAATGACCCATATCGCCATCTATCACACACCAACTGTGTTTCAGTTCACTTCTGTCACGGAAGTCTTCATGGCCTGATGTTCATGACTGGCTTTACCAAAACTTTCCTCATCTTGGAATCCTCTCTCAAAAGGACATTATCTTTGGACTTATATGAGCAGCAACAAAGGTTTTTGTATTTCACAACGAGTTTCTTGTCAAATAAACCCTGCTCTTTAGTTCAATTAATTAATTAATTATTATTTTTATTTGATTAATTTTTTTATTTATTTTTTCTTTCTTTCCTTGTAATCCATTTTTGCACCTGATCTTACTATTGTATCGCAGTGATGTATTATTGTTGCCATGTTGTTTGTGCATGATATATTTTTCAATTAAAAAAAATCAATAAAACAAGCTTTTTTAACAATGATGATCCGTAGCCTAGGCTACTATTAAAAATGTCAATGAGCCATTTTTTCCTGAAATGTTCCTCCACCAGTAACTTTCAATGTTATATTCTAACCATTAGATGTCGATAGAGAGCCAGAGACTCTGCAAAGAACAGATTTTATAAGAAAACAAATTTCAAGCCTGACTTCATACAACATGCAGTGCATGTAGAAAACTTCACTTGACATCCCAAGGTACAGCTTCAATTTCACTTCTTGTCTTGTTTAAAAAAAAAAACATATATTTTTGGACTAGTCTATGTGTAAATGTGAATGCAAAAAAAGCAAGGTCATTTGCAAGATTTAAAATCAAGTTGGAGCAATACCCATCAATGTCTGAGTTTACAAATGGAATTGTCATATTCTCTAAAAAGCAAAGGTCTAATTTTGCAGTCATAGCAACAGAGGTGGGAGTAAGTCACACATGTGCAAGTCACAAGCAAGTCTCAAGTCTTAACCTTCGAGTCTCAAGCAAGTCCAAGTCAATTTTTTTATAAAAGCAAGCAAGTCAAGTCAAGTCACTGCCTTATGTCAAGCAAGTCAAGTCAAGTCGTAGCTTGGGTCACAAGTCACTGGCAAGTCATACAAACGTTTGATGATTTCACTGAATTTATATATTAAAATAAGTTAAAACTACATAAGCTGTGGACTATGGTTTTATTTGCAACATATTTTTTTTAAAATATGCATTTCCACATACAGCTGAGTGGTTACTACAATAAAAATCTAAAAAATAAAAAATAAATACAATTTCAAACTACATAGCCTAAAATGTAAATGTAACTGAAATTAGGCCAACATTAAAGCATGAAAAAATAAATATGCCTCAAACATTGCAGAAGACCATTAAAAGGTATTAAGCAATTCACAATTCAAGTATAATGGTTCCTATGCCACCAAATGGCATTCTTCAAACTGGCATCCCCTTTATATAGGTTATATAACAGCCGTTGGCATTTAGCCTATTGTGAAGTTAAAACCGCCAATAGGTGGCGCCAAACCACCGTCTTAATGTACGAGTCATAGAAGCAGTCAACTGATTTGTTCAAAATGACAGATTCGTTCTGGAACTAAGCAACTAGGTCACTGAATCACAAATACGCATAACTCTTTCTGTGGCTTGTTTGGAACTATTGTCATTGGAGAAATAGAGCAGAAACAGAGAATATTTGGAATATTATGTATAAAATGTCACATCAGAATATTCACTCTTTGTTTACTGAACTGTTTTATAAAATCATCACATTTGCAATCGCGCCAATAATCTAGAAATGTTTTTTTATATATGTTATAATTATGAAAATAACTCATACTAGGGCCATTTTTCCACCACATTTTGAATTTTGGGTGCATATATTAATTCTGCTGGCATTTTTTGCCACCAACCCCCTGATAACATTAAGAGAAACATAAACGACAAAACTAACAGTTTTCTATATTGTTTTTCGTCATTGGAAAGAACAACATTTTTGGCTTTAAAGCATGATTTAAAAAGAAATGTGGCAAATGTTATACAAAACATATACCATCATTAATTATCATTTGAATATTGACAACAACATTAAGCTACATTTGAAAACATTATTGTGTATAAAGAGGCATGCTGTTTTGACCAATATTATTCTCTCTAGATTTAAAGATAGTCAAATTAACTATAACAAACAGGTTAAACAAGCCATAGCTTACTTTTAGACGTGGTGAATGAAGTTCGACTGTTCGAGGTTGTGATGGTCGTCCGATATCCCTTGCCAGTTATTATGCGTACAACAAATCTTCTTGCATGAATATGGTCATTTTCTAGAGTTTATATCCAAAAAGATACGATGCAGGGAGATGTTTTTGTATTTAGCGCGCTCACCGCGATGTAGGCTATTTCTGGGCTTGTGCAGCGTCACGCAATCGCGCAGAATCTGATGACTGACGTCAATGGTTCCGTTGCTTTCATTTTGTTTATCAATGGATGTTGCGATGATTTATATAAAAATGTATATCAAGTCATTCTCGAGTCATAGAGTTCAAGTCAAGTCAAGTCTCAAGTCATTGGATCTCAAGTCAAAGTCAAGTCGAGTCATTTTCTTAATTTAGTCAAGCAAGTCTCAAGTCCTTAAATTTGCGACTCGAGTCTGACTCGAGTCAAGTCATGTGACTCGAGTCCCCCATCTCTGCATAGCAATATTACCCACAACAATCGGTTTTAGTGTCATTTTTAAGCATTTTAGAATCGACCCACAAGAAGTAGGCTATATGTTTTTATAAAGCCAAAGAGAAGTAGCCAATATGTGTTTCACTGAATGCATGACAATCTGTTCAGTTTGTGAGTCGAAGTGAAACCTGTTGTGGTCTCATAGTTAGGACAAAATGTGGTTTCATTTGTCCGGTGGACAAGCTTGCATGAGTGTGTGTGTGAAGAGTTTCTTTTCTTCCACTAGTCTGAATTATACATCAAACAAACGTTATACAGTGAAATAATATAGTAAATGTAGTTACTAAAATGTTATTTTATGATTTTATTTTACCTTCAAAAATATAGGATACTGCATCAAAAAAACAAAAAAAATTAAATTACCTGTGGCTTTCAGATAACAAGAAGCAGTTTATGCTGCATGTATTAAAACATGTTTGCAACTCTAACATCAGCACTGCGTCCTCAGCGAGTGTGTGTGTGTGTGTGTGTGTGTGTGTGTGTGTGTGTCACATCCTGTAAGAGGAGGATTCACATCTCATGCATCGCCTGGTCACTCTTAATGTTGACATTCATTTTGAGTTATTGACTTTAGTGAACAGCTTGAAAATGGCCCATGTGTTTGTTTTGTTCTGTTCTGCTGGCTGGGTCTTGTTGATAAGTTAGGCTATTTATTAAAATGTCTTCAGCAACCAGACCACACATCTGGACATCAACACACTCTGCCACACATGTGCAGGTGATATTAGTGTTTATTTACTGAAGTCAGCAGCATATCATCAGTCATTTTATAAGTTTATTGTTGTTTTTATCTCCTCAGACTCAGACTCTGTCCACTGTTGTGGATCTACTGAAGCTGTGATGCGATTGGTCCTCTCTGCTCTGGTGGGCGTGGTTACTGTTGTTGTTTTGGGTTTTGACATCACATCCATAAAAGCAGATCAGAAAAGAAGAGCTCAGATATCAACCAAATTGATTGCTAATTTTTTTTCTTGTTTACAAAGAAATAAACTGTTTTATAACTTTTTAAAAAGACAATGTGCATTGTGCCACAGCAAGAATGCCCTGGGTATGTGTGTTCACTGGCGTGCAGTTAGTGTGTGTGTGTGTGTGTGTGTGTGTGTGTGTGTGTGTGTGTGTGTGTGTGTGTGTGTGTGTGTGTGTGTGTGTGTGTGTGTGTGTGTGTGTGTGTGTGTGTGTGTGTGTGTGTGTGTGTGTGTGTGTTCACTACTCACTTCTCCTATGTGTGTGCACTAACTTGGATGGGTTAAATTCAGAGGACAAATTCAGAGTATGAGTTACCATACTTGGCCTTCCCTTCACTTATTAAACATGGTTAACAGTATTCTTTTCTTCATGTGTCACCTTTTTAACTACAAAAGTAATTGTCAGCGCACCTTATAGAAAATTAAACTCAAAATACAAAATGTTTGTCTGAATTTTATCATGCCACGTGTCATTATTTCTCCTGTAGACTATTCACTCAACACAATTAAAAGCTTGCAAAAAATAAATGGCCAGTGCTTTGTTCATAAATATGATTAATATTGCTGTTGGCATGTGAGCAAGATTTTAAGTGCTTACATTTTTTTTATTTATTGTTTTTTTACAATTACATGCTATTTTTTTCTAAGTATCTTCTATAAAAGAGAACAACACTTACGATTAGGCGTCATTAGACAACAAAACATAATTAAGAAGAACAATGTAGCCTAACTGACGACGTATGAAACATTTTAAATGAAGGAACGTAATGCGATTGTGAGGAATCAAGTGGGCGGGGCCAGCCGTGACTTTTCGCTCTCATTGGATCGTGAATCTTCAAAGCTGATCCTCGCGAAAGAACATACACACCTCAATAATTCACGCGCGTGTCGAAGCGCTGTTTGTTTAACCTGACGACTGTGGATTAGCGGGTGCCGCTTTCGTTATAAAGCCTGACATCGCCAGTGGAGCTGACATATTGTGTTCTTTATTGATAGCATCAAGGAGCTTTCGTTTATTTCGTCCTTTGGTGTGTTACCTGAGGTGGATGTATCGCCAGGTGCTCGTGCTCGCGGTCTTCGCCGCTATTCAATGCGGGTTTCCAGCATCATGCGCTCGTAATTTAAATTACAGACCAATCATCGGTAAGAATAACATTTAAGATTTCGAATCATCGATTTTAAGATTTAAGATTTTTTTATGTGCTGTTCCGTTTAAAGTAGGCTAGTGTATGATGCATGTTGATTTTATGATTTTGCATCTCATATTTTTTGCCATGTCATGCGATTCTTTTTTTCTTTTTCATCGGAGCATCTTTTTTCTCTGCAGCTCCGTTGGTGGAACATTCTAGTTTCTTCTCAATTATTTATTAACTCTTCAATGTCATTGCAACACGTAAAGGGGTTTAAACATATGGTTGGAAGACCTTAACCTTGCTGACAAAAAAAATAAATAAAAGAAAAAGAAATGCTTAAATGTCTTCTGGCTTGGTAAAATGAGTCTGGTTGGATGTTTGTGACGCCAGCTTGACTGACAAGCTAAACCAGCTAAGACCTGCAAACCCCTATAGCCTGATGTTTTCAGTAGCTGAAACCCCCTTTCTTTCTAATATAGCCTACATGTCTTTTTGTATTTCAGGAATTTTAGCCCAGGAAAACTTAGAGGACGACCCTCATGCACAGGGATCTTCCTATATCGCTGCATCATATGTGAAACACTTGGAGTCAGCTGGTGCCAGGGTTGTACCCATCCGGTATGTTAAAAACAAGCTGTATAAAAAAAAAATCTAAAAAAAAAATCATTAAAATAAAGAATACATGCAGATAAATGTTTGTTTGCAGCATAAATCGGACAGAGGAGGAGTATGAAAGACTATTCAACGCAATAAATGGGTGAGTGTTTCTGAATAGTTTGACATAAGCTGGTAGAGACGTGTTTTCCATGTGGAGAAAGAAAATAGTGCAAAGTACTTTTCTATCCGTGTTGGATTATGGTGATCTGTTCTACATGCATTTACACGACTATTTTAGGTAAATTACCTACATTTTATATTTTCTAATCTTTTATCCGGTCACATAAACCGCTATTGCACCAGATGTACAACTCAAATTTGCTTTAAAGTTCATAGGGTGCATTCAGCATTTGGTCAAATTTCTACCTCTTTTTACGCTCCCTGTGCATGGAGCGAACTGCAAAATGTAATTGATATATATTTAATACTTTGAGCAAGTTTTAAAGGTAAAGGAAAACATGTACTTGTCTTTTAATGTGAAACTTTGTGCGTCCGTCTTAAATCAGGACTCTCCGGAAGAAGGGTGTGTTAATTTATACATTTTAATTAATAATTATTTATAATGTAATTTAACATGGAAACTGGTCCAACCAGAGAACAGACACACCATGTTCCAAACCACTGGATTTTCCAAAAGGTATTTTTTTATTCACCTTTATTCTGCTGATTATTAACCCTTTTTTTTAACCTGGTTAGTCTGTTGCTACCCGGAGGAAATGTGGACATTGAAAAGTCTCAGTTTACCAGAGTGTCGAAGATTTTCTATGAACTTGCAATAAAGGTACGTTCACAAACTCGTATGTGATAATGGTAACACTTTATTTGATGGTCCCTTTTGAGCATTTTGTTGACTAAGTAACTTTGCAACTACATGTCAACTAACTCTCATTAGAGTATTAGTAGACCGTCTGCATAATAACTCTTTATTGTGATGCTCCTCCAACAACAGACATTATACTGAGGATAAGTAACTTTACAACTATATGTCAACTTATTCTGACCCAAACTCTACCAGTCTACTAATACTCTACTAACACTCTAATGAGAGTTAGTAGTCATGTAGGTGCAGCGTTACTTATAGTCAACAGAATGTGTGAAAGACCATCAAAATAAAGTGAAACCGTGAAAATTATTTTTAATTGGTCTGGTTGTACTTTGAGTCGTCGTCTTTATGATCTACTACAGGCGAATGATGTTTCGGATTATTTTCCGATCTGGGGAACCTGTCAGGGTTTCCAGCAGCTCACGGTTCTGACCAGCAACAAGAACCTGTTGACCTTGACCGACACCAAAGCAGTGACCCTGCCGTTGACCTTCAGCCCGGGTTTGTATCTGTGTGTTTTCCACCGTTCTGGAATGGCAAACTCACACTAGTAATTCAGCACTGTTGTTCTTTACAATGATTACAAGTGACACTTAATGGTTGGAAACGTATAATAATGCATACTTCTACCTTATAAGTGTATATAAACATGGCAGAATATATTAATGACGGAAATGGCTAACCGCAGTTTGTGTTGTCTGGTTTACCAATTTCATGCATCAGCTCATTAATGTGAGTTGGTCAATGATTTTGATTGATTACAGGAGCCCAAAACAGCAGGTTGTTCAAAAAATTCCCAAAGGATGTTCTTCAGTCTCTGGCAGAAGAAAACATCACGTCTAATTTCCACAGCTGGAGCCTGTCCATGCAGGTACCAATACAGCCGTTTAAAGCAAATGAGAATTTTTGTCTGAAGTAATTTCACATGGCATAAAATGGATCAATAAAACCAACATTAAAGCAACACTAAGTAAGATTTTTTTTACCTTAAAATAATGTTTCCAAATCGTTTCAGTGGTTCATTAAGTCGTAACAGGGTGAAAGGCACTTCTGCCTCCGCTTTGCGGTCCTGTATCTGCTATAACCACACTATGTAAGATTGCCAGGTCGGGTCGCGTTTCTGTAGTTCTAATGAGACATAAGAAAACTACAAATTTGACTTGCGTTACGTCAAGCGTTACAATAGTCATTATTTTGTTTTTCTTCGTTTCTGATGTCGCAATACATCATACTTTCATGAAATCATGCAACATACTCTACCTTGTCTGTGGACATCGTTCATTCCAAAGCCGGTGCTGGATAAACAGCGAGTGTGCGTGCGACAGTAGGATGCGCTAGGCTAAATTATTTACAACAGCGGTAATGGACAATTCCGCTTCCAACCTGTAGGGCGACCGCAGAGGAAAAGTTACTCGGTGTTGCTTTAAAGCCATTAAACCCAGGAACGTTGACTTCTGCGTTTCCCATACTGCTTTTTGCATACTGATCAGTCATTGTATATTCACTGTATAACAATGGTTTGCTCTTACAGAATTACAGTGGCAATGCCAAGCTGAAGCGTTTTTATAGGGTCCTGACCACAAATACAGACGGCAAGAAAGAGTTCATTTCCACCATGGAGGGTATGAATGTCTCTGTACATCACAGTGTCTCTTTTTGTGTGTGTGTGTGTGTGATGTAACCCATCCCAGTCTCACAGTTGGCTGATTCTTATTAAACTGATTTCCACCTATAAACACTTACTAGTTGGTTTTTACATTTAGGTAGGTATTTTTTGTTCAAATTTTTAGCAAGTGAATAATTGTACTACATTATATCCTGTAGCGTCTCGATATCCCTTCTACGCGGTGCAGTGGCACCCAGAGAAAAGTCCGTTCGAGTGGATTGATAAGCCCGGTATGGTGCACACCCTGTCAGCCATCAAAGCCACTTTCTACACTGCCCACTTCTTTGTTTCTGAAGGTTGGTCATCTAAAAAAAATGGAAGTTGCAATATCAATTTGGGAATCTTTCATCTTGGCCTTTTTTTTTACTTTTTAATTTGACTCAACTTGGTGTTGTTAACTTGGGTTTGTTTCGAAAACAATCAACATTCAAAAGATTTTAAGAAGCATAGTCCGAGATGTTTTACTTTCTGACCACTGTATTGATGTGCTTACTGTCTGTTTCAGCAATGAAAAACCATCATCGTTTTTCTTCGCAAAGTGAAGAGGAAAAAGCTCTGATTTACAACCATCAGCCCGTCTTCAATGGCCTGGACAGCATCTTCCTACAAAACTACTACTTCGATTAAGTGTTTAAAGGGATAGTTCACTTTGAAATTAATTTTTGGTGTGTTTTAGCTTATCTCAAGGGCATCCAAGATGTAGGTGTCTTTGTTTCCGCAGAAGTTTCAATTTTGATATTTTTAGGTCAAACCGTTCTTGTCTGTCAGTCATATAATGCAGGTCTATGGTCACCACCTCAAAGAGCATGCACAGAGTAGTCCAAATTAAACATGATTTAATGACTCGGAAATGTAAGTACTCATTGATGGCCTAAGACACGAAACGAGCAGTTTGTATGAGAAAACGAACAGTATTTATATCGTTTTTACCTCTTGTAACCACAGCCACATCCAAGTGATCTGAGGGCGCCGGCGCTTCGGTCTTTTCCGGGAACCGCGATCAACCATAACTTCAAGAGAGAAGGCTCATAAATTGGGAATTTGTGAAAACTCACCACTCCCGGATGAGTTCGCGCGAGCATACGTAATTGTTTTCTTTTACGACGGTTTAAACATCCCGGATAAGCGCAAATTAGTACCATTTTAATTAGCCGTCTTACCTACAAACTCTGTTCTGTGTAAACAATGAGTGACGTACACGCGCGAGAGATCACTTCCGGTGCTTGCGCAGAACGAAGCGCCCGCGCCCTCAGATCACTTGGACGTGGCTGTGTTTACAAGAGGTAAAAACGATATAAATACTGTTCGTTTTCTCATACAAACCGCTCGTTTCGTGTCTTAGGCCATCAATGAGTACTTACATTTACGAGTCATTAAATCATGTTTAATTTGGACTTCTCTGTGCATGCTCTTTGAGGTGGACCCCATAGGCCTGCATTATATGACTGACAGACAAGAACGGTTTGACCTAAAAATATCAAAATTGAAAATACTGCGGACACAAAGACACCTATATCTTGGATGCCCTTGAGGTAAGCTAAAACATACCAAAAATGTATTTCAAAGTGAACTATCCCTTTAAGTCATTACACTTCATATTCATCATGGCAAGAAAATTATTTATAAATTATTTCTTTACTCGTACAGTTTGCCAAAACTTGATGTTAGGAATGCTGAGATGTATTTTAAAGTTCATGCTTTTAATGTTGCTCTTGATTGTAGATTCTGGATGTAGATGTGATGGAATGTATCAAAGCAGTTTTATCCAATTCAGAAGTCGTATTATATAGGACTATGCGTCTTCTAGCGCCATCGTTTTAAAGTCAAACTTTGTCATCTTTCACAGGGTTCACAAGCATGCCAATGCAATGTTAAAATGTTGTATTGCTTTGTAAATTTTAGGGAAAATAAAATGGATTCTTGTGTTTTAACTGGTCAATTTTATATGGCAAGTCATTCACCACTCAGTAGGGGGCAGCAGTGACAGGTCCAACTTTATGGTGCGCTTACAAAGTACCAGACAAGCCTTCTCAAAACATTTATTTTTTTGCCTTTTTAAGAGGTGGGACAACACAAAATTACCAGAAAACAACGAGATCGGAATCTCCTTACAATCAGATACATTAAGCAGTTTTGAGGTACAAAATCAAAATGGAAAAAAGTGCAAATTTGCTAATAGCTCTCGTACCAGGACAGAACGGTACAAAACAACAGCGTTCTACACTGGCGTCAAACTGTCCTACGTCAAGGCTTATTAAAGAACCAAAAATGCATGTACGTTATATATATAGAGCGTTCTGGAGTACTAACCATTTAAATCTGTTTAACATGAACTGTTCACGTTTTCTAAATTGTGTACAATCAGTTTGACCCCTGACATGTGCATAGACTATTATGTACTACAATGTTTCATGCACTTAAAATGAGTAAAGAATAGCCTTTTATCTATTGTGACAAATAAGATTGTTCTTTGACAAACAGACTGTACCATAAACAAGATAACCACCATGAAGATAGCTAAGTTTAACACTTTTTTTTTATCACCGTTTACTTTTGCTGTTGAAAACACTGAAAACATGTAGAAAACAAAGAAATCATTGCCTAGCGCCATTCGACACATTTCTATGTGAAAGATTCTTTTGTAAGAAGAATCTCGTTCTGCTTTGGATGCCGTTGGTGCTGAGCAACGTTAAAGGTGCAATATAAAAAACCTTAACAAAGAGCGACATTAATCCAGTAACTTACGGAGCAGCCATTCCGATCGGTGCACAATAAAAGAGCAAGGCAGGTAGGCGTCCATCCAGCATTCAGCATGTAAAACACAATATGCAGCCTGCTTAACTGTAGATACTTGCATTAATTAAAATAAGTTGAGAATGACTGATTATAGTGTATCATTAGAGATGCACTGTCTACATATTCAAGAAAACCACAAAAAATCCGTGGTACAATCTCTTTCTCTGTCTTCAAGTACACTAGTGTTCTTTTTTCTGTAATTCCCCCAAAAATGAAAAATCATTTAATCGCCTTCATGTCTTTTCAAACCCGCATGACATTTTTTTTTTCTAAGAAATAACTTCTAAAGAATCTTTATGTAACGTTAGTTATTTCCGTACAACTTTTTAAGATCTCGTCAGGTTCGCTGCCATTGGTCATCATCATCATTACCTTACAAAAACAAAACTTGTACAAAGCTATTGACCTTCTATCTTCCGGTTTGTTTTTCCACAGCATGAGGGTCAGATCTTACTAATTTTTAAATGTTCCCGGACTACTGACATTTAAGACATTTGCTTCAAACATTACAATGCTCAAGATAACTTTCATTAACTCCACCAGCTTATTACTCTTCGACAGCACTGCCATAGAAATTTACAGAGCTACGCAAAAAGGGAAGTTACATAGAATTACTTCAGATGTCTTGTAATACAGCACACAAGCCAATATATTCTACTTTTTTTGGAACTTGACGTCCGTTGTTGAGTGGAAATTAACTTTCCTTATAAATTCTAAAATTTCTTTCCCTCACAGAAAAACAGTAGTTTGGAACAACATGTGGTAGATTAAAACGACATATCGCATGTTTTTGGGGTGAACTATTGCTTCAACAGTGCAAGAAACAATTTTCAAACAACGTTTTAAACTCTAAAATATCCTACTGATTGTTTGACACATTCGATTTAAATAAATACTAATGATTAGCTCCTGCACTGAAAATTGTCCCATATCATATACAACTCGCATTTTAAAGCACTTCAGTAAGTTTAGTCCGTCTGAATTTAGTAATGTGGATAAAGAAAAACGTCATACACGCCAAAAGACATCACATTTTATACAGCAGATGTTTCGAAAAAGCTTGAAAATGTTTCGTGCCTTCATAGTCTTTAATGCGATGCTGCTTTCCCATGCCGTTTTGATGATTGCTTCCCGGGATTAAAGGTGAGTATCTTCCTCTTGGTTGTCTTCCTCTTCTTTCCCGGGCTTGTTGACGAGCACCTGCCAACCGCTCCCGCCGTCCGCGCCCGCCGTCACCCCATTGGCGCTGAGTTTCTTCTCCTGCATCTCTGATTGGCTGTCGCTGGTTACATCCAGTGTGGGGTTGTCATGGCAACCGTTCTCCACAAAGTGGAGCTCTTCGCCTCGCGACTTGATGAGGCACGGAGGACACAAACCAAAAAACAAGATAAATAATCAATCAATGTGAACCTAAACCGTCACTCAGATAATGTTGATCAGTAATTAGCATTCGAGATCCATTATTTATTGCGCTCAAGCTCCATGGTGACAGTGTTTGTGCCATAATCTCGATTACCACAGAAGCTTTGACGCGTGAACACCACGGACCCTTTTCACAGAAAGACTGTGATGATGATGACGCGTTTTAACGGTCATCAACATCGTAAATCCTGAAAAGTTTTTTATATTTTCATTTTTTTTATTATGTACATTTATAACACTACACTTTGTATTATATTACCTTTGCATCAAATTACAAAACAAAAAAAAACAAAAAAATAGATAACGCTGTTAATATATTTATGGTCATATTAACTTATATGTAAAATAAAACAACATAAAATATAACAATATATAAAATAGAAGGACACAATTAAATAAATATGTAAAATACTTTAAGATATGAAATGTTCCAAAAATAAATAAATCAATAAAGTGGGAGTATAAATGTGCACAAAATGTAAAATAAAAAATGTATATTAAAATAAAACACATCAATATAATATAGTAGACAAATAAAAACAAACTAAATGTGGTAGATTGTAAAATGGTTTAATAAATCAATAATAATACAGTAAAATGTTAGCCTAATATTGATAGTATTTGTGCTATAATCTCGATTACCACAGAACATTTTGGACTCTTTTCACAGACTGTGATGACGCGTTTTAACATCGTATATTCTGCAAAGTTTTTTTATATATTAATTAGTTTTAATTATGTACATTTATAACACTACACTTTGTATTATATTACCTAGTATTAAAAACTAGTTAAAGCTGCTGTGAGGGTATTTCTAATACAGCGGCTGTGGGAGTGACAGTAAAATTGACATCTTTTCCTCTTCTGACTGCCATTATCAATCCCTCTATTTTTCCTTCTTTTTGAAAGTTGTGAAAATCAAGCGTAGCGTCAGTTCTGGCAGGTCACGTTAGTCAAGCTTGCATCAGCTGACTCTCAGCTGACCCACGTCTACCTATAGGAATACTACGCCTAACACTGTATCAGCTCCTTCAGTATTATCAACAGCTATCGCGTTTCTCAGGAGCGATTACCCTCCTCCCTCCCCAGCTCCTCTCGTCAGTCAGGATTTGGCATTCTGATTGACACTTGAATCAGAATAAATTCTCTAATTATGTTGTACTTTAAAATCTTGAATTAATGATATCTGCAATACATTCATGTTGGTTCTGTTCGGTTTACCCTAAGGGGGGTTATTGCTGCTCTCCCTGCTCATATCTATGCTAGGCTTCATGCTAGGCTGCGGTTCTCGCCCAGAACAGAACCATATCGCCAATCCAAACTATATGCTAATTGTCAATCGTATTCGACGATAGTGGTCCTGACAGAAACACTATTGTGTTTTTTCTTTTGCTATTTGAGCAAATGGGGGAACACAAAAATATATATTTAATGTATTCTCTCATTCACCGCTATAAAAATGTACCCAACTATGACGACTTTTGAGGAACCCCGGAAATGTGAAAAATGGTCTATTGTGGGTTTGACCTACCATGTTCTTGAGTTTGGGTAAGCGGCGCTGCCAGCAGATATAGATGATTCCAGAAGCAATAATGAGCACACACACCGATCCGATGATCACTAGCACCACAAACAGCTTCCCGTAGTCGCTGCGTGTCTGACTGGGCCTCGAGTGGCACGTGTTGACGGTGGAATAATTCTGGATTCCAATCTGAGGAAATGAATTTGAGCTAATTATTATGCATATTATTCATGCTACTTAAATCGTTCACAACTTTCAATGTATTCATTAAATGGATTATTATTATTTGCTGCATTTCAGTCCCACCTCATATAGACCTCTTCTGATTTCCCCCAGCATTGACAGGACGTCTTTTGGGGCTATGATTTCTTCACATAATGAACGGAAAATGAGACAAAAAAAATATTATAGAACATTGTTAATTAATGAAGAATTGTTGAATCAAAAGAGAATTAGTTTACAAATAATATAAGTGAACCATGAAGAGTTTTTACACTGTGACATTATACTTTAATGACAATTAAGCACATTTACCCCCAAATTTTCCATATTGCTATCCATTATTCTAATATGATGGAGAAAATTATTCTATCTGAATCCATTTTTGTGTCATAAATACTAAATTTAAATAATTTTCTTTAATACAATTAGAGTGCTTCACTGTCATAAAAAAGCTGCTGAAAATGTCACAATGCAAAACATCTTAATGGTACTTAAACGGGCCTTATTGTCTGTGTGCAAAATATAATCTCTCGTGTTATTCTTTTAATTTTGTGACGTAATACGACCTTTGTCAGGCTTTGTAGGATATGACATCTAACTAATGCTCTGAACAGAGATGTGTGAGATAATACATGCTATTTTTATCCTTTATATAGAGCATGAAATTAAAAGCTTACAAATTATTAACACTTCTCTAAACCATAAACATGACATTATATGTGACCACAGAGGCCCTGAGTAAGTGTGTGTGTGTGTGTGTGTGTGTGTGTGTGTGTTACCCTGCTCGCTGGCTAAGGCCATCAGGAGCTGGTGGTCCTGCTGTGTGGGTTTGCTGAGGAAAATGAGCCAGGATCCTTGTGGGATGTTCAGCTTTCTGGAGAAAGTGTTTTCCAGCATCTCCAGAAGTCTGTCGCCACTCTCCATACGAAACTCGTCCTGCGAGAGACACACAAGGGATACAATGGAAAAACAGAGCCATACAGTGATGTCAAAATTGTTACTTTTTCATCTTAAAAATATTTAGTTTTACATTCAATCTCATGCTGGATATTCACTCTCAGTGTGAGAACACCTTTACTAAATACATGCTTTCTCTAAATAAATGCTTACATAAACATATACCCTAGGAGAGGAGAGAAAAATAGCATGAAGAAATACTAATCAGATTTGTTTCCCACCAATGTCTTTCACACTATATTGTATGGAGGGATGAACAAATATATAATGTAAAACATTATTTAATTATGAATCAATAATATATAATAATAAATGTTTATATGTAAAATAAAATGACAAAAAAGTTATTTAAACAAAATTAATATGTGAAATACTTTAAGACAATAAAAATAAATGAATGCAAAAAAATGGGAGCATAAATGTGCACAAAATTTTCAATATAATCTCAATATAACAGTGAACAAATAAAAAAAAACAATACAATACAGTAAACGTATAATTAAGCTAGCCTAAAACGTTAGCATAATTAAGGCATACATTGTATTTATTTAAATAAAAATTTACATTAAAAATGTAATACACCTTGAAATGTGATATCTGACAAAAATAAATATATGAAATATTTGAATAGATTATACAATGTTTTTTTAAAAAAAGGGAATATAAATGTATTTAATTCACATAAATTGTGTGCACATCTAGTCCTAAATGTAATACAGTGGACAAAATAAAAAAACTAAATGAATAAGTACATCAGCAAATTGTGTAATCAATAAATACAAAATACAGTAATTGTAAAGTAATTTGTATTTTTGTAGACAAAAAAAACAAGCAGGAAAATACACCTGTAATAAAGCAAACAAAATTAATTATATACTAATAGAATATTGATGATATAATTGAAATGAAAAGTGACAAAATGCATCTTGAAATGAAATACGAGGGCAAATCATGCTCTGTTTCTCCAGTATCCGAATCAGGAGCTTCCAGACAGACAGAACCAGTGACCCATCTAAAAAAAACTGGTTTGCTTTGTTACTGAGACTCGGTAACACACTTCCTCCAGGCAGAAACAGACACACATCAGACAGGCTACAGAAATCAGAATCAGTTTTTTTCAGGCCGTTCACAGCGAGCGCTGAGTCATTCAGACGGAGAGAGACTGCGCTCTTGTCCTGTGGGCTGTATTGGGTTCTGATCAATCGCTCTGCAGTGCTGCTCGGGTTCAAACACGCCATCGCAGGAGACGTCGAGGGTTTAGCACACAGCTGTCAGGGAGCCGGTGGGGGGACAGATCTTTGCGATCATGCTGCAATTACGTGCCACTAGAGCGTTACCGTGGCAACAGACAACTGGCCTCTTCTACACTGGCGAGACTGTGTACGTGCCAGTGATGTGTGTGTTAAGAAAGATGTAAAAGAAAGGAACATCACAATCTTTTTAGACAGCAATAAGATTCAACGGAGAGCAAAAGGATTAGCAAAATGTGGCCACGATTTACTTAAACGAAGAAACGCATTAGCACACCGCGGCCACGATTTACTTAAACGAGGAAACGCATTAGCACACCACGGCCACGATTTACTTAAAAGGAGGGAACGAATTAGCACACCGCGGCCACGATTTACTTAAAAGGAGGGAACGAATTAGCACACCATGGCCACGATTTACTTATAAGGAGGGAACGAATTAACACACCGCGGCCACGATTTACTTAAACGAGGAAACGCATTAGCACAACGCGGCCACGATTTACTTAAACGAGGAAACGCATTAGCACACCGCGGCCATGATTTACTTAAACGAGGAAACGCATTAGCACAACGCGGCCATGATTTACTTAAACGAAGAAACGCATTAGCACACCATGGCCACGATTTAAAAAACGAGGAAACGCATTAGCACAACGCGGCCACGATTTACTTAAACGAGGAAACGCATTAGCACACCGCGGCCACGATTTACTTAAACGAAGAAACGCATTAGCACACCATGGCCACGATTTACTTAAACGAGAAACGCATTAGCACACCGCGGCCACGATTTACTTAAACGAGGAAACGCATTTAGCACACCGCGGCCACGATTTACTTAAACGAGGAAACGCATTAGCACAACGCGGCCACGATTTACTTAAACGAGGAAACGCATTTAGCACACCGCGGCCACGATTTACTTAAACGAGAAACGCATTAGCACAACGCGGCCACGATTTACTTAAACGAGGAAACGCATTTAGCACACCGCGGCCACGATTTACTTAAACGAGGAAACGCATTAGCACAACGCGGCCACGATTTACTTAAACGAGGAAACGCATTAGCACAACGCGGCCATGATTTACTTAAACGAAGAAACGCATCAGCACACCATGGCCACGATTTACTTAAACGAGGAAACGCATTAGCACACCGGGGCCACGATTTACTTAAACGAGGAAACGCATTAGCACAAGGCGGCCACGATTTACTTAAACGAGGAAACGCATCAGCACACCATGGCCACGATTTACTTAAACGAAGAAACGCATTAGCACACCGCGGCCACGATTTACTTAAACGAGGAAACGCATTAGCACAAGGCGGCCACGATTTACTTAAACGAGGAAACGCATCAGCACACCATGGCCACGATTTACTTAAACGAAGAAACACATTAGCACACCATGGCCACGATTTACTTAAACGAAGAAACGCATTAGCACAACGCGGCCACGATTTACTTAAAAGGAGGGAACGAATTAGCACACCGCGGCCACGATTTACTTAAACGAGGAAACGGATTAGCACACCGCGGCCACGATTTACTTAAACGAAGAAACGCATTAGCACACCGCGGCTACACGATTTACTGAAACGAAGAAACGCATCAGCACACCATGGCCACGATTTACTTAAACGAGGAAACGCATTAGCACAACGCGGCCACGATTTACTTAAAAGGAGGGAACGAATTAGCACACCGCGGCCATGATTTACTTAAAAGGAGGGAACGAATTAGCACAACGCAGCCACAATTTACTTAAACAAGGGAACGAATTAGCACAACGCAGCCACAATTTACTTAAACAAGGGAACGAATTAGCACAACGCAGCCACGATTTACTTAAACAAGGGAACAAATTAGCACACCGCGGCCACGATTTCCCATAAAATTCTTACGAAACCAAATGATCTGCTTATGATAATTACAGCTGCTCTTTACTATTACCGTATGCCAATTATCAAGACAAAATGCATGAAAACAGCAGCCATATCACCCTGTAGTCCAAGACTGGTTTCCCACTGAAGCTAAGCAGGGCTGAGCCTGGTCAGTACCTGGATGGGAGACCTTCTGGGAAAATCAGGTTGCTGCTGGAAGAGGTGTTAGTGAGGCCAGCAGGGGGCGCTCACCCTGTGGTCTGTGTGGGTCCTAACGCCCCAGTGTAGTGACGGGGACACTATACTGTCAAAGAGCTCCGTCCTTCGGATGAGACGTTAAACCGAGGCCTCTGTGGTCACAAAAAATCCATCATGGCCTCCTAATCATCCCCATATACTAATTGGCTTCATCACTGTCTCCTCTCCACCAGTAAGCTGGTGTGTGGTGGGCGTTCTGGCGCACTATGGCTGCCGTCGCATCATCCAGGTGGATGCTGCCCATTGGTGGTGGTTGAGGAGATTCCCCCTTCCATATGTGAAGCGCTTTGAGGTCCCAGAAAAAGCGCTATATAAATGTAACGGATTATTATGAAAACTGGGACTGTCAGACTCCAAAAATGACAGAAAACCACCATAAAAGTTGTCAATATAACTACTGAAGCCATTAGATATCATCTAATGATGAACAGAACCAAATTTAACTCTAAAATCTAATTCTTGCTGGCATACATTTAGATATGATGGACAAAAACACGTTACGCTAGTTTGGATGTCAAATATCATTAGTACCACTTTTATCTTGTCATTCTGTAAATTTAGTTGCTCTGCTGACTGACTTCATTTTTGGACGAATTATCCCTTTAAATGAAACGTAAATGTCAACTTCAAAAGCTCAAGATTAACCGAGTGCAAGAGCGTTTGCCTCTGTGTGTGTGTGTTTCGCAGCTCCGCTAACTAGTACATAAGATTAAGAATCACATTTTTCTTTGTTCTTCACTATAAAGGCCAGAGAGCGTGAGGATTGTAATGAAACAGATGCGCTCTGAGCTCCCAGCGTGTGTCACTGTTTGTGCTGAGCGGGGTTAGTTGTGCAGTCAGCATGTTTCAGAGACAGCATTTCTGCTGCAGTACGTGAAGCGAGAGTCTGAACAGAACACACACCTTCATCAAGAGCGATTACATCAAATCGTGACTGGATTTGTATGAAGAAAAGGTGACTTGTTTTGTTCATGCAAGAACAATGCATGGTGCATTGGGTTAGGGTTAGCAAGAGTTTTCTATGGTGGGTTTTTTGTAACAAAAAGTGACTTACACAGTCAAAGTTGTCCGTCATGTTGAGTATAACGTAGCCCTTTCCTGCGAGGTTGCTCCAGTCGACACAAATCACCTGCACAGAATCAGAAAAACAGGGTGTTTGGTCTAACAGCCACTTTATTGCACTGAATTGTTGTGGTTTGTCGAAACGCTCACTGACAGCCTGCCGTGCGGCCCGGAGAACAAATCAATAAACGCATTACTCTTCAGATAAATCAATCGTAAAATCATTTCCATCAAGACATGACATGCTTCATCCAAACAAACAACTGAGGATTTTATACCAAGAAGAACCACCTGGGGAATTCAAACATGTTTGGTCAATTTTATTTACAACGTTATAATGGAAAAAGACACATTAAAATGACGTACTTCTTGTTATTGTTAACTAAAATGAAAAATGAATTTGGTTATTGAAATAAAGATTAAATTAAATAAAATCTAAATATTTTATTAGAGAAAAACATGAATTAAGTTTGAGTTAAAGTTCTAAAAATTACGATTACTAAACTTAAATACAAATAAATAAAGCTAAATAGAAATATTAGAAAAACTAAAAAAAGCACAAAATTATTCAAACTTGAGAATTATAACATTGTTTCTTACAAGAGACTTAAATGTCATGCTGTTTATGATTTTGCTCTCGTTCTACAAAAACAAAGAAACAATGTTATATTTATGTATTACAATAATAATATCAGATTTTTTTACTATTTATCATGTATTTATAGTTAGATAATATTAAAATACATTTATATTTAATATATATTTCTGTTACGATATTTAAGCAAACTGACTCTTTTAATTGCTTTGAACTAAATTAGCGCACAGTTAATGTGTGTCTTTAATCATTGAGTACCTGCTCGGCCTCCTGGGACAACTCTGAGTCGTGGAGCTCCGTTTCGGCAAGATATTCGGTGCCACCGTGCCGAAGCTCCGCCCCCTCCTCATCCGCCGCCGTGGTTAGCTCCGCCCCCTGCCAGGCAGGTTCAGTGAAGACCAACGGTGGCAGATCCGAGGCGGGGGAGGACGAGGGCCCGGTCGTGAGGTACCGCCAGTCAGACTCTTCCTCCTCGTCCGGTTCAGTGGGGAACACCACCAACTCTTCCTCATCCTCCTCTTCCTCAGAATTGTCCCGGTGTAGAACGTCAGGCTGCAAGGGCTCCCGGCTGGGCAGGGGCCCGATTTCTGGAGCGGTGGGTGCTTGCGTGACTTCACGGCCCCTCTCGTCATCAAACGGGTCCTGGGACGCTAGGCGTTTGTCAGGCCCGGCTGTGGCCTCTTCTCGGTTCTGACGAGACAGTCCGAGGGAAGGGGGCGTGGCTGTGGCTGTGAAGGGGGCGTGGTCTTCAGCACCTGCTCTTGATGGGCCGGGGGAGGGGGGGAGGGGGAAACCGCTAGATTCAGAATCACTCTCCCATTGCTCCGGGTCTACGGGCTCAGCCGTAGGGATGAAGAGCAAAGAAGAGGAGTTGGTCTCACTGGGCTTTTCACTCAGAGGAAGTGGCGAAGATGGCGGTTCTGGAGATGAAGGGCTGTAATCTGATAGAAAGATAGCGAATTTGTCAGAAACATAAATCAAAACACACCACAGAAGTGATTTTTGACTTCACCGAGCCATGTATACTCTATATACTGCCATACTCTTCTGCTCTAAATCATGATTATGTACTATAATATGCCATTATAATAGGTGGTTGTAGTATGAGCAGAGTGGAATTTTGTACAGTATAACGTCAGTATAGTAAGCATAGTATTAAAGAGATTTTTATGACTTATTTTAATGTTTAAATGTCTGATAGCCAATTATTTTTATTTATGGTGTTAGACTACACTAATACAACTATTTTAAGCATCATACATATTTAATAATGTTAAATATTATAAAAATATTAAAAAACAAATTAAGTGTTTTATTTATAAATAATATAAAACATATTTCTGCTGTTGTTAATTATGCCATTATGTTGATGCAATGTTGTTTTGTGATTTAAATGGTTGCAAATTTATTTTCATATTAGTTTTTGCTTGTCTACACATTTGTCAGTTGAGAATTATTAGGCTGTTTATTAATCACTGTTTATCCGTAGATATTACAAACCAATTAGTTTAAAAGTGTAACTATCGGTAAAAATATCCAGTAGCTCCTCACTGCAGTACACGAGATCCAGGGGGCGGAGCTGGATCCAGACCCAGGGGGCGGAGTTAGACCTGGATCGAGACCCAGGGGGCGGAGTTAGATCTAGATCCAGGGGACGGAGTTGGATCTAGACCCAGGAGGCGGAGTTAGATCTAGATCCAGGGGGCGGAGCTGGATCCAGACCCAGGGGGCGGAGCTGGATTGAGACCCAGGGGGCGGAGTTAGATCTAGATCCAGGGGGCGGAGCTGGATCTCCTCCCACTGCATTTTTATTGGAGTTTCGCAACACATCAAACTTACTCGTGTTGTTGCTCTACCATTTCCACATTGAGTCGTAACTAAAGTAAGTTATTCTTCTGATGGAAAAACAAACTTGCTAAAAACAATTATTTAATTAATAATTTTAATTTAAATGAATTTAAATGGTTAGTTACAAACACTGTAGTTTGTACATTGTGTGAATGTGCACTTATAATTACGTACAGTGGTGGGCAATAAGCAAGTGTATTATTATATAATATGTTCATTTGGAGAAACTTTTACTTTTACTCTTACTTTTTATAAAAAAGCCCGTAGTTCCTTGTTGCATGTAAGAATAAATATTTCTTTAAAAGAAGTGTATTCTTTGATTGGCTGTTTTACCCCTCTCAATAGTCCACATGCACTTTGACTTCAAATACTTAAGTATATTAATAAGTAGGCACTTCTACTTTTACTGGAGTAATATTAAATCAAGTTCTCTTTCTACTTGAAGTAGAAAATATGTGTGCTTTTCCCACCACTGATTATGCATATTATTATAAAACTGTATGAGACTAAAGTATAGCAGCACTGTCAGGTTGTCTTCTGTAATTTTATACTTAGAAATGACTTCACAAGGGCATCTGACTTCATTTACATAACATAATAAGAGCATCTCACTTACGTAAATGCATGCAAAATGCATTACCAGCACAATGAAATAGAAAAAAACATTTATAAGCACACAAGGTAAAACAGAGACTGAATACAGTAGGGAAACTTTTGAACACGAAACATAAGGAAAACCACATCGTCTAACCGGAATAACAGACTAACATTAGAGGGAAACCATTCAAAATTAGAACTCATTTGAAAATTACTCAGTTCATCTGATGGAGCAAAGTATATAAAGTGGGAGGAGTTGGATCTGGACCCTACGTCGCCCCCTGGATCTCGTGTTCTGCAGAGAGGACCATCTCGAAATATCTGTCCATCTCAAGCGGGACACAGTATAGTCAAAGATGCCAAACTCTTGTATAAGTATAAAGTGTGCTATATCATAGCATACAAAAGCATGGTCTAGTATTGCACAGCATATACGGTTTAGGATGCTTTATTGTAAAGTCCAGGATTAAGAAAGTGATGTTTTCACAGTATAGTACAGTAGGATGTGGTGTAGTAAGATCTGATGGGAGTTATTCATCTTTAGTTTGTGGAGAACAGCAGATTTGAGCAGCTGCACTGCAGCACTGCACCTG